ACTTGAAACATCTGGGGTTCCCAGATCGGGCGCGCAGCAGGCGACCTGGGCGGATGTGGTACATCAATGTTGGTCTCATCCTGCAAGATGATCCCTTGGTCTAATGCGGCTGCCATAACCCCAATTTCCTCTGAACTTTGTGTCATCATAAGTCTGCTGAACAGAACGGAGATGATGCAACCGGCAATTGACGGATCAGACGTTTGCCTTGCCTCAACGAAGGAGAACACCAAATCTCTGAACCCAAATCTCTGAACTGAAAGGGAAAACAAGCAGCATTTCAGCCCAAACGGAACGGACACAGGCGTAGCTAAATAACTGTACTCTACTACTGATCACTGTTCCCCAAAATCACTGCTCCAAAAAAATTGAATCTGATTCCCGCAGTTATAACCGATTCCCCGGAACACTGATACTGATGCCCTCAGGCCTGGTACTAAACTTGCAAACTGATATGCGCGGTCCTGTAGAGATACACTCTAAAAGCACATAGCAAGTAAATGAGAACCAAAACACCCCTATGTTGGGGTAGGGTTTCCCTGTCCTATTTTGTCAAGAACTAGGGTTTCACTACACACGCAGCGGTTTCAAACAACCTATAATCGGGTAAGCAACCTGTCCTAGTTCGGAATAGTCACTATGGATTCCGAATATGCACTAGGTCGAATGCTCAAAAAGGGTGCCCCGGTAAAACCGGGGTTTGTGTTCCCATACTGGCAGAGACCGTAACCGGTCAACCTTATGGCACGCAGCCTCAGGCTAACCGCTCAGGAATAGCAGGCGGCAAACACGGTGTCCTAGGCACACCAATGCACATGCAATGCAAAGAAACACATAAGTGAAATCAAAACAAGATATCACAAGTTCGAGTCAAGCTCTCTAACCTCCCCAGCAGAGTTGCCAAAAATTGTAGACGTCCCCGAACGCCCCGGGAGGATGAGTCCCTTTCTGTTCGTTTGTGGGTCACTACAGTTCGGACTCTCAATTTGTCACGGTTCTAAATCTGAACCAAAGAGTCCAAATCTGGCAAATCGTTTTGGAAAACAGATTTTTGTAAAGAAGTGTCAAACATGGACTGCTTTGCCAGATACAGAGTCGCCACCTAAATATTTATTTTGGGGGAATTTAGGAAATCCTGACTCGTTGCCTAAGGCCACGTGTCCGTCATCACCAAAGTTGCCTCGGCTCGGGAACTTGGGTACGATTGGGGAAGGTCAGCTATGAGCACCCCCGCTCGCCCGTTCCGAAGATTGGCCTCTACTAACCACGATATCTAGTTTTGAAAACGTTATGTGTTCTTAAATCGGTTATTAGCGTAGAATTACTATGTGATGCGCGCAGCGAAGCAAGTATAGACTGGGTCGCCTGAATTGGAACAAAACATTTCATGTTTGTTTTGAAAACTGTTTGCTACCCGCAAGTAGGCTTAAAATGTAGATTTTACCACCTTCAGGTGGGCTTAGAAAACATGATTTTGCCACTGTCTAGTGGGCTTAAAACTCGTAGTCGATGCATTATTCCAATTCAGATAATCCAACCATCACCCACAGGCATTCAGGCAGATATATCACATAAGCACATAGCCTCATGGTAAGCATGCTGTCATGTTAACATTCACACTCATGCGAGATGCTAAAGCATAAATACTTACATCGTACTCCGTGCCAAAGCGACGAACTAGTTAGTAATCATGCATGATCCTAGTTCAATGTTAACATGGCTAATGCAACACATGCAAAATACAACTAGAAATAGGCTCAACTATCCTAAGAATGGCATGTGAAATGCTACAACTTGATGCTCGTATTCAAGTTTGGAGTTAGAATACTATGCAGTTAGTATGATGCGCCGAGCCCGGTGCATGCAAGACAAATGTATGGAAGCACGCATGCATAGCATAAGGTATGCTAAATTGAACATGCCCTAATACTAACCATCAAAGCAGGTAAGTAAAAGGGAGGAAGAGGTGGAGGGGGGGTTGGAAGACATGCACACACGCACCCACACTTATTACAAACTCACCCTCGCTCGGAGGGACCAAAAGAATAATACAATTTAATTAACCTACAAGCTAATTAAATAATTTATAGACCACCTAATTAATTAGCAAATCAATTAAATTAAGGAAAGCATTAAAAGGCCTCGGGAAGAGGGATGCACACGCGCTCGGATTGGCTTCGCCTGGAAATCCAATGCCATGCACAAGCTGCCTATGTTTTCCCTGCTCTGTTCCTCTGAAAATTGTAAAAGTCCTAAGGAGCACTTTATGAACACTGGGGAATGCTACCGGCCATGAGGAATCATCACCGGCCATGGCAGGGTGGTCATCGACCATACATGGAGCTATCGGCCATCCATCATTGGTCGGTCGGCACTGTATGTGGTCGACCGGCCAAAGCTTCCTGCAGAAACTTGTTTTGACAGCAGCAGAGGGCAAAACATGGCATGGCAATGCATTTCAAGCAATGTTTGCACCAACCACACTCCTTATCATGTTTATGACTCAAAGGAGTTTGGTACTTGACCCTCGGACCACCAATCGCGCATTTCAATGCGTAATGTCCAAAGAGGCCGAGTTGTGCATTTTGATTTCAAATGCAATACAAACCAAATAAACACATAAAGCCCAACCTCTATCATGCTCAATTCAAGAGGCGGAGCATGCATGCTCAATGCGATGCAACCTAGGCATGTGAGCTAGTATGCAACATGAGCATGTGGGCAAGTATACAAGCTAGCAAACATGCAAAGTATAATCTTAACCATGCAAGCATGCAAGATGCAACATGGACAACATGTTAAGTACAATGCATGCTAAATGCATTACAACCTAAGCATGCAAATGTGTAATGTAATAAGCATGGAACAAGGCCAAATATGCAACAACACATAAGGCAAGCATGCAACACACGAGTAGGATGGTCTTAAACTAATTTAGGCAGCCCTCAAACAAGCCCAAAACAGTGGCCAATGCTAAAGAAATGGGTCCAAATGCAGATACAAGCATGCATGGATGCATCGTTCAAGACTTAAGCATAATGAAGCAACTTTTAAGCACACTTAAAAAGAACAAACATGGACTAATGGCATGCATAATAAGCTCTGAGAATCATGCTATAAGAGGTTCCAAGCCAACCAAGTAAAGCAAGCATATCATGCAACCAAGCCTAAAGCCTAAGACTCACCAAAGGGGCATTGAACTACACTTAGCAAGACCAAACATGGCATGATTTAAACAACTAAAATCAGAGTTTTAGCATGTCAAAATGAACCTCAAAAACCACTTAGATGGCATCTAAATGACCCACACATGGAAGCATACACAAATGTCCAAACATGGAGCATAGGACGACACCCTTTCAAAGCATTGAAGGAGCATCAAATGCAAGAATACGAGCACACCAGTAGGACTGAAATGGCATGGCAAGTGGTTCCAAACCACTGAAACAAAGCAATGATGGCATGCTAGTGGGGTCAATGCTCAAGGCATACAAGAGGGATTACATGGTAGCTATACCAAATAAAGCATGGACGACCCGAATAACTAAAAACAGACCTCAAGCACACTAAAACAAGCATAAAAGCTTTACAAATCTAGGCCAAAACACATGAGCATAGTAGTCTAAATGCTATGTACATGTTAAGGCAAATCATGGCATTACAAGACATGTATGCAAGGCAAGCATGGTGTGTCTAAACCAAATAAAAAAAGTGCTATATCATAACAAAATAAGAACAAATAACACTTAAGACATGGCCAACATGAACTTAAAAATGGCGCTCACACATGAGGCAAACATGACACTTTTTGAAGGCAGCAAGGAGAGGTGATGGCCCTCTCCTCCTTAGGACCTTAAGACACCATCCTTACTGCAGAAATCCCTCAAGATTTCAGTGGTGAGGAGGCCCAAACAAGGTGGTCCCGGAGCTTTCCAAAATAGCACAAAAATAAGGCCTAACAAGGCCTAAGAGGGGTCAAACAATCCCAAAGCTCAAAGCAACCTTAAACAACTATTTTAAGAAAGTAAAAACAAGACTTTTATATGTTATACACTAAGCTTGAAACAGCAAGCAAGGTAGGCAAAAAGACTCTGCAAAAATGGGCTAAAAAGGGCAAGAATCTTACCCGTGAAGACCTTCTTCACAAGGATCACTCCAGCAGCTTTCTTAGCTCCAAAACAACTCAAGAACTTCAAGGATATCCCCCTAATGCCTCAGCAATCAAGGTAAGGTGTAATGGTAGGTGTCCTAGTGCAAAACTAAGGACAAACACACACTTATAGCAAAAGAGAGGGAGAAATAGAGATTGAATAGATATACTATGCTAACCCTAGAACCAGAGCTCTCTAGAACTTTTTTGTAACCCTAGAGGAGGGGGGAGAAGCCTCCTCTTTATAGAGCTTCACTCTTGCAAAGCTTACAAAACAAGCTAAGCAAGAGTGAAATCCCTCAATACACGTATATGGAGGGGGTGCAAAGTGGGTGCCAGCTAGCACAACTGGCACAAAATATCTGCCAAAAGCAGATGAACAGTGGTCAGCCAGCCAAAAATGCCAAATTGACCAAATAAATGGTCGGCCGACCATCAATAGTGCCGACCGGCCAAACATTTGGCCTATGGAAACAGAACAGTTGCCCGTGGCCTCAAGACATGGCCGGTGAGATGTGGGGATGGCCAACAAGCCATTCTCTGCTCCTCAAAAGCAAAACACAAGTGTTTGGTGCAAAACCAAACACAAAACAGGCAAGTCGAGAGGTCTTGAGGCAAGGCACGTGGCCGAGACCTCCGAGAACTCAAGATGAACACGAACATGGATAATCACCGAGTGTTCAAACGGTGACGTCCAAGTCTTGAGGACGGTCAAAAATGGGGTGTCTACACACTCCTTCTTAGGAACTAAAGTCACAAAGGAACTTGTTAAACCTTTGGACAATCTTCCATTCCTATGAAAATCATTGAAGAAACGAACAACTTCAGGTTCAAACACTTTCCAGCATTTCTAAAAACAAGCCAGATTGAACCCATCCGGACCAGGAGCTTTGTTTCCTTTAGACATCTTAACTGCCTCCCAAATCTTTGCTAACGTGAATTCAGACTCAATCAACTGGACTTCCGGAGTACCTCCAATGGACTTAAACTGACCAATCAGCTTTGGCCTCACTTTCCAATTCTTAGAAGATAGGCCTTTACAATACCTGAATACCTCCTCCTTCAGCTTCTCAGGATCCTCAACAAGATTCCCATCAACTGTTAGAGAATTGAGCAAAATCCTATTCTTCCTGCAAGAAGCCAAAGTATGAAAAAACCGAGTGTTCTTATCCCCTTTTAATGCCCAAGACATTCTAGATTTTTGCAGTCAAAACCACTCCTCCCTTGTGCTCCACTTCCATACCTCCCCTCTCAACACATTCCTCCTCTCCTTTTCCGAATCATCAAGTAGTCTAGATTCCGCAACCAACTCCAATTTATGTAACACCTCTTTCGCAACCTTTAGATTATGTTTGATGTCCCCAAAGACCTCTAGATTCCATTGCTTTAATTTTAACTTGAGAACTTTCAGCTTGGAAGAAATGACAAAGCTAGCCCCTACAGATATACCCAATTCCTCCCAAGACTGCTTAACAAAAGAAAGGAATTGAGGATGCAGTACCCACGCATTTATGAACCTAAAAGGCCTCGGACCCCAATCTCTAACATCCTCCATGAGTATAATTGGGCAGTGATCTGAACCATACCTTGGCAATCCCCAAAACTTAAACTTGAACATATGAACCCACTCAGGAGATAGGAGAAACCTATCAAGCTTACTCCATTTTTCACCATCCATAGCATTGCACCAAGTGAACTGTCTGCCTAGCAGAGGAAGCTCTGTGACTTCCATTAAATCTATGAAGTCATTAAAATCCTTTATTTCCCTATCTCTTCTTAGATAGCCTTTGCGTTCCCATGGGTTCCTAACTTCATTAAAATGCCCTCCCAGGCACCATGGCTTCTGAAAGCTGGTCTTTAATCTGACAATAGAATACCAGAAGAGCCCTCTTCTTACAACATCATTTGGTGCATAGACATTAGCCAACACACACTCAAAGTCAGGGAGAAGAATACCTGGCACTATAATGACATTTCGGCTACTACAACAAGAATTCGTTAAGAACACCGAAGGCCTCCACACACATAGCAACCCCTCTACTGTTCCATCTGGATCCCATGGCCATAATGAACGAACCAAACCCTCAACCATCCTAGCTTTTTTAGTTTCTTGAAAAAACACAACATCCACTTTCCTTTCTCTAAGAACTTCCTTAATTCTAAGCCTTTTCCCAACTCTACCCATACCCTTGATATTCCAAGATAGAATTATCATTACAACAGTATGAGACTCCTAAAACCTTCAGCTTAACCTACTCACTATTAGGTAGTTCCAGCTCACTGAGCAGCACGCTCCTCATCCACACGCTCCAACTCCACACATTTTTGAATGACTTCGGCCTCAATCCCATTGCAATTCAGTCCTAAGGCTTTACTGAGCTGAACTACTACTTGAGCCACCTGCTGAAACCTACGGTCTCCTCTACTTGATCCGAACCCATTTAAAGAAGAGGCAGACAATGCCAACAAAGCAGCTCTGAGTAGAGCTCCTCTGTGCCAGCTCCCAATTGGAAGTGAATATGCTTTCCTTATAGGCCTTGCACCTCTTGCCATCTTTTGAACTAGTCTCCTCTCTTCTGGATTCAGTTTTGCCACTTCCTTTCTCTTCTACAATTTTGACCTCTAGGGTTCACTTCCAGTTGCAGATTTCGGTTAGAGACCACACCTCTATGCTCCCCACCTGTAATATGCTCCTAATCCACACCATGTTCCAATCCATGAAGGCCCACATCACCAACAGTAGAGGCAATTGGGCTGGGTTAAGGAATAGGCCTAATGTACTGAACTAAATCAACCACTGCTTCTATTTGCTCCTCAGGCCTGCAAGATGGAGATGTACATGCATCAGGCCCAAATATGTGCCCGGTATTATAATCATTTCCTAGATGGCCATCTAGGATACAATTGGGGGTTTCAACTGTTACAGTTCTGTATGCCTCAACAACGTTTGAGTTTCCTAGGCCACTAAATCTTTTCTCCTCCACCATTGATTTGGACTCTAAACCGTCCCTCAGGGCCATGTCAGACTCCATGATCTCGGTGGACCTACCGACCCCTGACACTACCTTCAGGTTGTCCCCTATCCCATCCACGTCAACTGCCACCTCATCACACTACCAAAAAAAAACACTTTTAGCGACCTTTTTTTAGTCACCAAAAGTGTAATTTTGGTTGCTGAAAGTATCCACGACATCAACAAAACCGGTTGCTAAAGCCTTGTCACTAAATGGTTCAGCAACCAAATAAATTTTGGTCGCCTTATAAATAAATCGGTGACCAAATATTTCAATCGCCAAAAGACTAAAATTTTGTCGCCATAAATTAACATTTAGTCGCTAAAATAGCCTTAAGTGGATGACATGTTAGGTTTTAACGACATATAAATGCGTCGCTAAAAATATCTTTCCGTGACTAAATGAATTAGTTGTTGAATGTTAAAACTTTTGGCGACCAATCAAGTTTTGGGTCGCTAAAAAAATTATTCACATAGACTTTCAGCAACAGGAACAAAGTGTCACCAAAAGTAAATTTACAACTGCAAAACTTGTCACCAAAATTCATTATTTATAAATAAAAAAAAAATTACAATTTCCATGTTCTGTACGTAATTCATGAACCTATAAATATAAGCAAAATATAATTTAAATTAACACACTTGTGTAAAACATCCAAAATATAAACTTAATTCAAAAGTAGTAGAATATTAAATATAAGCAAAATATCAAATCCAAAACATCCAACATAAGTACAAATCCCTTACAATCCCAAACTTCAAACATAGGTAATTCCAAAAAAACTTCTAAGCTTGCAAATTCATAACAAAAACCTATGACAAAATATATCAAAAAATTCAAAATGTAATCCTTTGATGCTCCCTGAACTATGTTCCATCCATTGCCAATCTGTCAAACATATGAAAAAAATTACAATGTTAAAATGTTAATAATAGAGTTCTTGGTCAGAAAACATTGGTTTCACATTATAGATGAACAAATTAGGAGCAAATTTTCCTACAGTGAATTACAAGATTTCAATATATCAAAATCAAAAAGTAACACGTGATTCACCAGTTAAAACTTGGCATGTATGAAAAGTTAAAACAATGTTCATGTGCTGAGCCAGAACTTATGTATTGCAAATATATTTTCTAGAGACACCAAGAATATACATCACCACGACATAAGAGACCAAATACCAAATGAAAAATTAATTACTTTACATCAGATTAGTTAAACCAGTATTTCAAAAGTTGAACAAACCCCGCTGATCAACACAGGAGTTTGTTAAGGTTAGGAACCACTTTCCTGGGCAAGCCAACTACATATGCAACATTATAAAGGATCTATTTCATAATATTCTTTACTCATGAAAGAATCAAAAGAATACACATAAATTTATTCAAGTACACCTATTTTTTTATAGGTACTCAGTTAAATTTTTGTGTCACATTTTTGTCTTTTATGTCCATTGATTGACCAATCAACAGCAGTCACCATCTTTTAGAGTCTAAAGTCATATATCAAAACATGAAAGTTTTTTTTTTTTTTTTTAAAGAAGAAGAAGAAGAAGCTGTAATTTGCATACCTCTTCATAAAATGTCATTGCTGTAAGACGGTATCTTGCTAAAAGCAAATACTTCTTTACAGCACAGTTGAGATCTCGACGTTCATTGTCCTTCAAAGGGCCCAAGTCAGAAAAGGAAGTCTCTCTCTTTCCTTGTTGAGAGTTTGCCCCATTATTTGCAGAAACATTGGCATTTGTCCCTGAAAAATGCAATTAAGATGGATTAAATTCACAAAACTGCAGAAAACATTGTGGCCTATTTGATGATAGAATATAAAAACTATAATGAAACCTACAAAGCACCACTATAAACCAGGAAAAACTAATAAGATCTCATTATTTACTATGCAATTTTAATTTAAACTGAAAAAATCATAAAAATGTTGAAGAAGGGAATAAGCAAAGGTGTACATATATGAGTTCTTTAATATGTTCGCTTCTAAAAACTCTATTTTACCGTGGATGATTAATAGCCAACACAGTTATAGGAGAATATTGCATACGCAGAGCAAAAAAACAAGAGGAGATATGAAGGAACTCAATTTTATCCCAGGTGTTCCTATATATCTACTAAATTTAACATCAAAATAATACTCCCTATTCCATGCTTGCATCAAAGAAATGTCAAGTAATTCCAAATTTCTAACCTATAAGGCAGCATTAAACCATTAAAATAATTGTAACAGACTTGTTCATATACATGTCCACAAATGTGATAAAAACAAGCTTTCCCTCATGAGACTCAAGGTTATGCTAAGAAGGATCCTATGTCAGATTTAAGCATATTCAAAACAAAAAAACATTTTGTTGTTCATTTAGGTTTCAATTAATTTAAGCGACCTAAAGATTTCCAGGTCATGAACCAACTCCCAAAACCTGTATATGAACCTGTTAAAGAAAATCTTTCATTACAATCACACTTTAATATAATCCTTTCCTTTAATTACTTGTGTCTGTCTTCTGACAATCTGTCAACACTTCAAGATTGTTATGAACTCCCAACACTTTCTGTGAGCCCATAAAGCAAGGAAATTTATTGCCAAGAGAAATTACGGAAGAAAAAGGATCCAGCATCTTCCCTTTTAAAAGCTATGGTGGATGCAAGCTGGGATTGGATTAGGCATTGACTTATCTGTGTTGTTTAATTCTTTATTGAAACAAAAGCCCATGAATTTGAAAAAACCAATCTGTAGTAAAACTGGGGGCTAAGTGGATTCATAACCTACAACAGAGCCGAACCTTGTTTAATATTATGTATACTTATTCAATTTATTCAATATTATAAATCAATTCATAGTGCAACAATCAATCACTAACACAAAGGACAAACTCACCATTCAATTAACATATATACATATATATATATATATATATATATGTATGTATTTAAAACTTTAGTATTAGGAAATCTCAAATCCATTGATTTCAATTTCGAAAACTCTAAAATACAAAGAAAAATAGAAGATCAAAAGCTTGATTATTCAATGAAATCAATTCATAGTGCAACAAAACTAATCGAACAATACCACAAACAGTATCGAACAAACTCACCATTCAATTAACATATATACATATATATATATATATATATATATGTATGTATTTAAAACTTTAGTATTAGGAAATCTCAAATCCATTGATTTCAATTTCGAAAACTCTAAAATACAAAGAAAAATAGAAGATCAAAAGCTTGATTATTCAATGAAATCAATTCATAGTGCAACAAAACTAATCGAACAATACCACAAACAGTATCGAACAAACTCACCATTCAATTAACATATATACATATATATATATATATATATATATGTATGTATTTAAAACTTTAGTATTAGGAAATCTCAAATCCATTGATTTCAATTTCGAAAACTCTAAAATACAAAGAAAAATAGAAGATCAAAAGCTTGATTATTCAATGAAATCAATTCATAGTGCAACAAAACTAATCGAACAATACCACAAACAGTATCGAACAAACTCACCATTCAATTAACATATATACATATATATATATATATATATATATGTATGTATTTAAAACTTTAGTATTAGGAAATCTCAAATCCATTGATTTCAATTTCGAAAACTCTAAAATACAAAGAAAAATAGAAGATCAAAAGCTTGATTATTCAATGAAATCAATTCATAGTGCAACAAAACTAATCGAACAATACCACCTAACACAAAGGACAAACTCACCATTCAATTAACATATATATACATATATATATATATATATATGTATTTAAAACTTTAGTATTAGCAAATCTCAAATCCATTGATTTCAATTTCGAAAACTCTAAAATACAAAGAAAAATAGAAGATCAAAAGCTTGATTATTCAATGAAATCAATTCATAGTGCAACAAAACTAATCGAACAATACCACAAACAGTATCGAACAAACTCACCATTCAATTAACATATACACATACAATACAGAAATATATGTATGTATACGAAAGAGAGAGTAATTCGAAACTTTAGTATTAAGAAATCTCAAATCCACCTTCGATTGAATGAAAGTCACATTCAGGCCAATAATCTAGAGAGAGAGAATGAGAGAGAGAAGAGGGCAGCGACCCAAGCAGAGGATTGCGATCTGCTACCGCCCAGTGTTTCTCTGCCATTTGCATTCGGCCGTGCGATA